TAGGTAAAAAGTAATTCCCATAATACCATTTGAAAGTGGAAAAAAGTTGAGAGGAATTTTTGGTGGTTTTCAGTTTTAGAGAACATCTTAGGGGGACGGAGGGAGTATAATTTAGCATAAAAGTATTTTAAATAATAAAGTGCTTTGGAGTTGTGAATTGCTTATATTTGCCATTAAAAGAAAATAGATGTGAATTTCTTATAGAGTTGATTAGGTGATATAGCATTATGTGGACCACTAAAGAGACAAAATATGTACACTCTCCCTTCAAAACTTTTCTTCTCATATTCCATTTTTATCCATCCAAAAATTTTCTTCCTATTTTATTATTTTGCATATTTGTTTGGCTAAAATGTCATTAAATCTCTCCAACCCACCAAACATCTCCCAACAATAGCCCCTCACTCCAATGTCTTCTCAGATATCTAGATCTAGAAGCTACGAATCTCTTTCTCAAGTCTTCTTTTTATCCTCTACATTACTCTTTTGATTATTCTTCTTCTACCATATTTTCTCTTTGATTCTTTTTCTTTTTAATCTTTTCTTTCTTCTTCTCCCATTTCAGTTCTTCAGTTCTTCTCTCCTCCTTTAATACGTTTTCCCTCAAACTTGACAAAAGAAACTGCAGGCAACTAAGACTTGACAGAGGGGGGCACTTATTACACATGCACTTTGATGAACTGGAAGGAGAGTGTTAGCGGGCACGGGCACACTTATCGGTTGCTGGAAGTGACCGAGGATCTCATAGATGTTATATGTAAGGTCAAGGTTGGGAAAAATGAGAGGTAGCCAAAAATGGGGGAGGTAAGAGAAAGTGAAGTAGAATAAAAAGGAGAGAGGGGGTGGCAAGTTGGAGAGAAGGGAGAGTTCTTTGTTTGGTTTTGTTTTAATGGATAGATAACTAAGGTATTTTTAAGAGATGCAACACACTCTTGTGTCTTGTGTTGTGGTTTGAAGTCAAGAACTTAATTAAGATATTACAGACTTACTAAATATCCAAAACTTAATACTCACAGTTAAGATAACCACTCTTAAGATTTAGAAATAGGAATTTGTTGGAAACACTCAATGTTTACTACTAAAATCAGAATTCCTAATATGTGAATTACATGGCAATATGACTGAACTTATAGAGAATTACAATGAAACTTCTTAACACTTTCCTACAAATTCAATGAACAATGTCCATGTGTTTTACTCCCAAATGAGTCGAATTCAATGTCTTTGTTTTAGAATTTTGGGTGATCTTCATTGGCTTGATTTACGATGGATATTTTGGCCTTTTTGGAGTAGAAAAAGTTGAAAAACATAGTCTAGCGAATCCTTGAATTTATTGAGACAAAAGGAAAAATCTGCAATATTCAATCAACGAGTTCTCTTTGTCGATTTTGGCCAAGCACATGGGGAGATATTGGTCTTGGTTTTCATGTAAAATAAGACTCATTATTTAGCTATCAAGATGGGAATTTGGGCCATGCAGGTTGAGAATTGTGGGAGAAAACTTTTTTTGTACAAAGTGGTTAACAAACACTATTCAATCGAGGACTTTACTCCTTGAGGACAAGACGACCATGCACGAGTCGGTAGATGGGAGGATCTCAAACAAATCATGCACAGACGGTTTGTTCCTTCGTTTTACCACAAAGAGCTTTATTTTCGTCTGCATGAACTGAGGCAAGGAATTGAACCAATAGTGTGGAGGACTACCACCGAGAGATGGAAACAATATTGTCCCGCCTAGGTATAGGAGAGGCACCAGATTCCATCATGGAGAGTTTCCTACATGGGCTTAGACTGGCTATAGCTCGAGAAGTGGACCGTCAACAATACTATACTCTAGACGATATGGTATATGCGGAGGTAAGAGTAGAGAAACACTTTAAAAGTAATAATCCTACTTCTACTCCCTTCCCTAAAGTTGTGCCCTCGTATGAATCTTCAACGGAAGATATTGCAAAATATACTCCCCAAGAATGAGAAAGATTTTTTTGTCAAATTTGAGAGAGGCAAGAAGCCCGAGGGTGGGATGAGGTTTGACAAGGATAAGAGCAGTGAAAAGTTTGGGAGTGGAAAGAAGGTGGGAGAATTAAGTGTCATGCATGGAACACCCAAGCCTCGTTCGGGAGTTATTTGTTTTAAATGGAAGAAAACTGGACACATCACGTCGCAATGCACATATGTGAGAACATTGGTTGTTCGTAATGGCCAATATGTTCTTGGAAGCGATGATGAGGAAGAAGAGGAGCCTGAGGAGGTGGTTGAATCGATAGAATGCGCCATTCCAGTTCTATTGACAAACCCACTATACTCCCCGGAAGAGGATGAACTTGAAGAAGAAAGCAACCCCAAGGTAAGTAGTCCTGACCACGACATCTTTCCAAATGTCTAGGTTTTTGGTTCGAGGATGAATCCTTTTGACGAAAGGGGGACTGATGTGAATCCATATTTCATTCATGCTCCCGAGGAATATTAAGACTATGACATAAGGTATCCGGACAGGCTCGCTGGGTGAGGTACGATTGACCGCCAGAAGCAAACAATCCATCGTTGGAAACTATCGGAAGAAGGTAGCGCTTGGATAAGCCACGGTCGGCCGTGAGTAATAAACAATCCATCGTCATGGTACCGATCGGCAGATTCGGAATACTAGGCAGAGGAAGGTCCATCTACTACACCGTGGCAAAGGAACGGTCGACCATTCCTGGGCAGTTAGGGTTTTGGAAATTGCCCATTAATTTCATACTCTGGTTTGATTTTAATTTTTTTCTTTTCAAAATAAATTTTAATATCTTAAAAATAGATTTTGATTGATTTCCAAGAACAAGGTGGATGGAAGGAGCTAAGGAATATTATTTTGAAGATATTATCAAGATAATTACCCCTGTCATTACATGGCAATTTTGGAGACAAGATTAGATTAAAATGACTAATCTTTCTTGGCTTGACATGGAGGTTAGGAGGCATTATCCAAGAATATGAATTAAGGTTATTTCCTAGAAATTGCTTTGAAATTTTCTAGAGTGTGACTGACCTTTGTATTTTTATTTATTTTAATTAAACTGTAATTTAGTTAATCACTTTGCCTATAAATAGGCTTTGTATTTCCATGGTAAAGGAGGTGGAAATTGAAAGGTAACCATGCAAGGATAGGCAGCGGAATATAAAAAATTTTAACATCCTAACATAATTATCTTGCCCAGAATCACGTACTAAAACATATAGTAGTAAGAAATTTATACCTTTCTCCGTAAGCGGTAAAAACGAAGAAGTCATAGGAAGAGTGTTGAAAGTGCAAACGTAACCGTTCAAGCATCTGGTCTCCAACTTTGACACACGAACAACGCTGGAGTCTACCACAATCTTTATGCTAGTAAAGATTATAGTAGTATAAAATATAAAGATTAAAATTTGGGATAATAATAATCTTGTATATTTCTTATAGAAAATATTTCTAATAATATTTAAAATATTATAGATATTTTCTATACACAAAATGATATTAATAGAACACAAAGTATTTTCTCTCACTAGAAAATGTAATGGCTGAAACTTAAAACAAATTGATGATATCTCATTATGCTAATGGTGCGTGAGGTGTATATTTAAAACAAAGATTAATCAAATTATTTTGTCATTAGCTAAATGACAAAATTAACTAGCCACTTAAATATCAATCAAGAAAATTTGATTCTCAAAATCCTTATGATGGCCGAAAGTTTGATTATAAAAGTGAGAAGGATTCTTGAAATTCTTCTCCACTTAAATTTTTAAAGTGTATTTTATTTAACATAAAAAACTAATATAAAATTAATTTTTAATCAAATAAAATATCAATATCATTTTAAACAAGTATACAAATATACTTTAAATAGTTTATGTCAAAATAACTATTTTCATAATTAAAATGACAAACCAAAATAAAATATTCAACATATAATATATATATATATATATATATATATATATATATATATATATATTGGTATTTATAAATATAAATATATTACCGAATTTTTTACATATATATAATATTATATTCCAAAATATTTTATTTTACTATTTTTACAAATATACAAATTACTTATTATCCCATTATTTAATCCTACTCCTTAAATTATCGAAAGTGTGTGACCCGTATAGGCACTTATAAAACTGGCCACAGTATTAGCTCTGCACCAATACTATAAGCAATAAGTGGTATCTAGCAACACATTATTGCCCCCAGATTATAAGTTAAGATGTTTGCACCGTCAAAACCTTTCCACGACTCAGACTCCGTGTAACTGTATCCCTTTGTCTCAATGTCTAGACTTAATGCAAGGGATTAATAAAATCCAACTTGTATCCATTAAGTCATTCACTGATTTATCAAGTTAGGAACAGACGTCATAAAAACATCTCAGAATGGCCATGCAATTTCCTCAGTCATGACTTATCAGTGAGCCCCATAAGACATTAATCTCTTAAAAAGAGTAGTGACAAATCCTATGTACGTAATCTACGTTTTTGAATACGCGTTGCGGCATACCCAAAACAAAGCCTGTATACCATCCTTATTTCGTATGGCTTAGGACAATGCATCAAAGCATGCGGGTTCACATATGCAGAAAACGTAATACTTCAAGTCGAATGATAGTTACACCTGTGGTCGCGCTAAAGATGCTTAGAGCATGAACTAAAAGTTCAAGCAACATCTTTAGGATGGGTCAGTCTGGCATCCTATTATCTCCAGATAATATCTGCCCATGTGCGGATGCGAACACACTATCATTGACTATGAGACTAAGTCAAACATCCAACACACACCAGTCTCACATGCATTAACGATATCCCACTTTCGTTAATACTCGACTATAGACATTCAGATAAATATTTATTTCAAGATGTTAGTCTCATCAGCAAAATAACACTATATGATAAACATATTTAAATATAAATCTAGGAATATAATATTTGTTTACATTAGCATGAGATGTGTAAACATATTATATCTACCTATACAATATGATAGAATAACGATAAACAGTTGGCCATCAAGGCACAACTCCAACAATCTCCCACTTGCACTATGGCCAATCTGGCATCGGTCGAATGCCCATGGACCTAGTGTGACCCTCATGCTTTAGCTTTCCTAAAGGCTTGGTCAAGGGATCGGCTATGTTTTCGTCAGTATCTACTTTGCAAATAATCACATCTTTTCTATCTATGATTTCTCGTATGATGTGATAGCGTCGTACAATGTGTTTGGTTTTCTGGTGAGATCTCGGTTCCTTTGCCTGTGCAATGGCCCCAGTGTTGTCTCAAAACAACAAGATAGGTTCATTAATACTTGGAACCACTCAAAGTTCAGTAATGAACTTCTTGATCCAAATAGCTTCTTTACCTACCTCAGCGGCAGCTATGTACTCAGCCTCTATAGTCGAATCGGCGGTTGTATCCTCCTTGAAGCTCTTCCAGCTAAAAGCTCCGCCATTTAGGCAAAACAAATATCCTACTTGTGATTTTGAGTCGTCTCTGTTGGTTTAGAAGCTAACATCAGTGTAACCGACCACCTTTAGCCCTTCCTCACCACCGTATACCAGGAATGCATCCTTAGTATTGCGAAGATACTTGAGGATGTTCTTGACCGCTGTCCAGTGTGCTTCTCCTGGACTTCCCTGGTATCTGCTGGTCACGATTAAAGCGAATGAGACATCACATCTAGTACAAATCATGGGGTACATGACGGATCCAATCGCAGAGGCGTATGGAACCTTCATCACGAGTTCCTTCTGCTCAGGAGTAGAAGGGCTCTAGCTCTTGGAAAGAACCGTTCCAGGTGTCACAGGTAAAGATCCTTTCTTTGAGTTAGACATGCTAAATCGATCAAGGATTTTATCTATATATGTACTTTGATTCAGACCTATTAACTTTCTTGATCTATCTCAGTAGATTCTTATGCCAAGGACATAACTAGCATCCCCTAAGTCTTTCATGGAGAAGTTCTCGCTGAACCACGTCTTTACAGAAGTGAGAGCGGGAATATCGTTACCCATTAACAATATGTCATCGACATATAAGATTAGGAATACTATTACACTCCCACTGACCTTCTTGTATACACAAGATTCGTCAGAGTTCTTCTCGAAACCAAAACTGGAAATGGTTTCGTCGAAACGTATGTACCAACTCCGAAATGCTTGTTTCAATCCGTAGATTGAACGTTGCAGCTTACAAACTTTGGCAGACTGACCAGCAATTTGAAAACCGTCAGGCTGTGTCATGAAGACATCCTCTTTGAAGTTCCCGTTAAGGAAAGCCGTCTTGACGTCTATCTGCCAAATTTCATAATCGTAATAGGCCGCAATTGCAAGCATTATCCAAATGGATTTCAGCATAACAACTAGAGAAAAGGTTTCATCATAGTCAATTCCGTGGATTTGTCTATAATCTTTTGCTACCAATCTAGTTTTGAAGGTATGAACCTTCTCATCTACGTCTGTCTTCTTTTTGAAGACCCACTTGCATCCAATGGGTTTTACCCCTTCGGGCGCATCAACCAAGGTCCAGACTTTGTTTGTGTACATAGACTCCATTTCAGATTTCATGCCTTCGAGCCATAGATCGGATTCGGGGCATGTAATTGCCTCGAGATAGGTCTCTGGTTCACCTTGATCTACCAACAAGACGTCACCTTCATCAGACATGAGAAATCCATATCTGACCGGAACATTACGTATTCGGTCTGACCTACGTGGTATATCTTGAGCAATTTGAGGTTCAATTTCTTGATCTCTTTGCTCAGGTTCCGACACTATCGGGACTTCTTCTTGTGGTTCTCGAATTTCTTCGAGGTCTACCTTTCTCCCACTAGTGATAGCATAAAGAAACTCCTTCTCAAGGAAGGTTCTATTCCGAGCAACAAAGATTTTGTTATCGGATGGATGATAGAACTCATACCCTCTAGTTTCCTTGGGGTATCCCAAAAAAATTACTTTATCAGATTTAGGCTCCAACTTACTAGACGTCATGAGACGTTTTACATAAGCTTCACAGCCCCAAATCTTAAAGTACGAGAAGCTCGGTTTTCTCTCATGCCATAGTTCGTATGGTGTGCTCTCGACAGCTTTAGATGGAACTCTGTTGAGTGTGTGTGCTACTGTTTTTAATGCATATCCCCAAAATGATTCTGGCAATGTTGTCAGACTAATCATGCTTCGGACCATGTCAAGCAAAGTCTGATTTCTCCTTTCAGACACTCCATTTAACTGAGGTTTCCCTGGAGGAGTGAGTTGGGATAAGATCCCATGCTTTTTCAGATAGTCATCGAACTCCGAGCTTAGGTATTCACCTCCTCGATCCGAGCGGAGGGTCTTAATACTTTTGCCTAATTGTTTTTCTACTTCGTTCTTGAATTCTTTGAATTTTTCAAAGCATTCCGATTTGTGTTTCATGAGATACACATATCCATATCTACTAAGGTCGTCAGTAAATGTAACGAAGTAAAAATAACCACCTCTAGCTACAGTGCTAATTGGACCACACACATCGGAGTGTATGCGGCCCAATAAGTCACTCGCCCTTTCACCGTGACCGGTGAATGGAGCCTTTGTCATTTTACCAAGTAAATAAGATTTACATACATCATATGACTGGAAGTCAAATGAATCAAGTACACCTAAGCGATGTAACTTAAATATGCGTTTCTTGTTAATGTGGCCCAAACGACAATGCCATAGGTACGCGAGATTCAAACTGTTAGGTTTGTTTCTCTTAACATCTACGTTATATATTGCGGTATCCATGTCAAGGACATAGAGACCGTTGGTCATTTTTGCACTTGCATAAAATATATTTTTCTAAAGACAGAAAGAGTTTTTTCTTTTACAACGAACGAAAATCCTACTTTGTCAAGGCAGGATACAGAAATGATGTTTCTGCTCATACGAGGTACAAACAGACAACTATTCAAATGCAATATAAGACCACTATGTAGAGATAAACTATAGGTTCCGACAGCCAATGCATAGACGAGTGCGCCATTGCCAACTTTTAGTTGTATCTCTTCCTCCGTCAATTGTCTATATTCATGCAAATCTTGCATAGAAGTACAGATGTGAGAACCACATCCAGTATCCATCACCCAAGAGGTGATATCAGACATATTGACTTCGATAACGTAAATACCTGAGTTTTGGGGCTGACCCTGGTAAAGGTCTCTTAAGTGTTGTATCATGGGACGCACTTCCATGTCCGCGTGGAGCCTTTGGAGCTCCGCGGTCATACTGGCCATAATGATACACTTTACATCTCGCGCGTCGTCCTCATACCTTTTGAAGGAAGTGAGTTCGGACGCACGAGCATTAGCATCAGGGGTCTTGGGAGGATCCGTTTCGAGGATGTAGGGTTTCCTCTCACAGGCAAGAACGATTCGGAGGTTCATCTCCCAATCAAGAAAGTTGGTCCCGGATAACTTGTTGTTTTCCAGGATGTAACACAGGTTGAAAGGGTTGTTGTTTATTGCCATCTACAGAAAATTTTGCAAACTAGGTTATCTATCATGTTTAATAATTAATTAGGCCTTTAATTAATTATCTCCCACTATTTTTAACAAATCAATAACCCTCGATATTGATTCGGAGATTTCCGGAAAAATCTCTAGTGGGCCATGATCCATATTTTAGAGGGTGTTTGGCAGTGCGCTGCTTTTAACAATTTAGCTTCTGTTTTGAGTGGAAGTGATTTTACTCTGTTTGGCATGTCAACTTCTGCTTTTCACCAACATTATTTTGTACATGGAACACCGTTTCGGAGAAGCAGGTATGAGGTGCTTTTGCTTTCAGCTTTTGTAGAAATCACTTTATCAATAAGCTAATCACTTCCAAACACCTTCTTATTATCTTGCGTTTCACTTGAGTGTTACTCCACAAGACAACTATTTAGGTAGGAACATAGTTCCAACTGATGAGCCGAGCTCTCAGCTCTTGGTCTGGTGTTGGGCGAACAATATTACTACAACCGGACCAGGACACCTTTTCACCATACTTGTAATTGGCTGAGGCACGTCTTACAAGCAGACTACTTTGGTTAGGAACAGAGTTCCAATTAAATCATAAAGATCCAACTCCTGACTGGATGAGTGAGTAAAATCATCCGACTTGTCATTGATGACCCCAACTTACTGCCTCTGAGTCATCCATCCATTTGACCGAGACTCAGTTAAGTCTAACCCAATGTGCGACAGCGACCACGCATTGGCGGTTCTCGTAACCAGCTTAACATACACCGTACTATGCTCTCCTGAGGCTGAGTACATGACAGTGCACATTAGCTGGATAGGTGTCAGGCGTCAGAAGGCAACAGACTTAATATTCGTGAGGGATTTATAATTTCGATCTCACTTATCGACATGGTAGCGCACATGTCCATTACTAGCGTTCAACATATATTCAACATGCATTCACAAAACGCAGTAAATAAACGTGTAATGATTGTGGCCCCTAAAAGAAAAATAAAATGATAGCTCCCACTGGCTTCCGGGCACTAGGACTTTGGGCTATCTCCATTCCTTTAGATTTATTCAAAGCGGACTTCAAATCTTTTCGTCTTCAAACCACCATGTGAGAAAAGAATCCTCGGTTGAGAGAGAGAGAGAAATAGATTTACAATAAGAGTTTAAAAGATAAGTCACGACGCGCAGGTCGTATTATAATTACATAAACTATAGCCACAATCATCCACCATGCATATCATACATGCACACAGGCAAGTTGCGCTCACCCCAGACAGTCCTAGAAAAAAACTACGGTAGTAAATATTTTCTAAAACTTATAAAATTAAATTAAATGTGAAACTAAATCTAATAAAATTTTATAAAATCATTTTATATATATTCTAGATATCTGGCCAGAGAAAAAAATTCATAATATTACAAATGACTAATATGCCCTTTTTGAAAAATTATTTTCAAAAGGGAAATAAAATTTCGAAGCAATTTTGCAAAAATCATGAAAATTATATTTCAACTTCCAGTAATTATTTTTAACATTTATAAGCCTGGAAATTAAATTTCCAAAATTTATAAATCATTATTTCAAAAATATATTAGTTAAATCCCAATAATTTATAAAAAGCCATTTCAATTATTTTCGAAAACATTAAATTAGAAAAATTTAATATTTTTAAAAACATTCTTTTTCTTACTGAGATATAACTTTCAAATATATATATTAGTCATTTATGTAATTAAAATACAAATATATAAATATATATAATATTTCGGTAATAATACTAAGTATATATATAAATATATATTTATTTAATTACTAACTAATAATATTTTGTAAAATATATTTATCAACAACCTTATTTAACTTAAAAATAATATTTCCAAGTTTAATAAAGTTCATTTTTAATTTTCCCATATTTATTTTCGTTTTTCACCTAAATAAATACAATAAATTCAAAATAGGAAATAATACATTCAAAAATTACAATATAATTTTAACAATCATAAAATGATGTTTTATGTCCGAATAAAATTATATTTACTATTTATACAATATATATAAATATATATTTCGAAAAATAATATATATATATATATTATGGGTAGAAATAAAATAAATAAATTTAAAATTCATTTTCAATGATTTATTTAAGTCCAATACTTATTCCAAGACTAAATTAAATCATTTTACTAGTTTTTAATTTTAATAATTACCAAGTTAAAACTTTGACTTTTAAAATTTAAAAAGTCAAACTTAAAACTATAGTTTTGTACGTTGGTTCCGATACCACTGGAAGTTAACCATGCAAGGATAGGTAGTGCAATATAAAAAATTTTAAAATTCTAACATAATTATCTTGCCCAAAATCACGTACTAAAATATATAATAGTAAGAAATTTATACCTTTCTCTGTAAGCGGTAAAAACGAAGAAGTCGTAGGAAGAGCGCTAAAAGTGCAAACGTAACTGTTCAAGTGTCCGGTCTCCAACTTTGACACACGAACAACGCTGTAGTCTACCACAATCTTTATGTTAGTAAAGATTATAGTAGTATAAAATATAAAGATTAAAATTTGGGATAATAATAATCTTGTATATTTCTTATAGAAAATATTTCTAATAATATTTAAAATATTATAGATATTTTCTATACACAAAATGATATTAATAGAACACAAAGTATTTTCTCTCACTAGAAAATGTAATGGCCGAAACTTAAAATAAATTGATGATATCTCATTATGTTAATGGTGCGTGAGGTGTATATTTAAAACAAATTGATGATATCTCATTATGGGATTATAACCATAAACAATCATGAAAGGAGAGAATCTGGTAGTCTTGTTTGGGTCTGGTTTAGCCTAATTCTGCGTGTGGTAGTAACACTTCCCATTGTTTGTCAGATCCACTATCACTAGAGCAAAAATCCCCCTGCCTCTGAAGCCGACAATTGCCTCTGCCCCGAGGGTCTTTTCGTAGCTGAAGTCGGTTCATCTTCATCTCGTTATCGGAGTTGTCGGTGACATTGCTTTGAACCGTGACTACCATCACCGATGCTACTACGGAGATGTGCCACCATCTACAGTTCTACTTCCAACACACGCTTGGAGCCAAATAAGTACATGCCAATGAAGAATTGAAGATTTGACAGAATAAAGATGGACACCATGTGAAGAATACAATGGTGCATTTTGAAAACGAAGAAAAAAGTAGATACATGCCCCTCATACTAATAATTAATAAGAGGACAAGGGGAGATAATATTGCAAAGTGGTGGATGGTGGGTTCCATTCCCACTACATTTTGAAATACTCCAATAGAAAAAATCAAGGAAATCTTCTAATGTGATGAGGCCCACGAGCAAACAAATCAATATAGTCCAACTGGATATAGGATGCATGCATGTGGGATAATTTTGGAAGACTAAGACACAGGCCCGGACCTGGCACGCTGGTTACTACACCGGTATTACTCAGTATAAGAAAAAAATTTAAAAAAAACCGTAAGAGGGGCCCTGGATAAGGGGTGTGCCTGCAATTAGGCTAGACCTGGAAGAAGGTTCGAAACCGTACTTACACGGACTCATGAGGTTTGACCAGGACCGAGGAGTCGGTTGGGACCGTCAAACTGATTGGGGTTAAAAGATGTTCATTAAAAGAAATAGAAAATGATCATTCATTGCAGTGCATCCTACTCCGACCGAGTTGGATTCTCCCTTCTCAGGGAAGACTTGAACATGGGGGTGAGCTAAGGCCTTTTACCCCGGTATAGTAAACATCAAAGGGCCATTAAAAGACTTAATCACCAGGAAGAGGGGGCTCTTGAAGAATTGAAGAGTGCATTTTGGGCCTTGGAGAGGGCTCGAAACCATCCGACATGGTAAATTTCTACAATGCTGATCTGGCCTGGCCAGCAGCATTATCTTAGAGGAAGATTGAGGCACGGGCCCGACCTGGCACGCAGGTTACTACATTGGTCTTGCTCAGCATAATAAAGAAAATATGTGACCTAGTCAAACTGGTACACTGGTCTCACACCGGTCTTGCACATATTTTCCAATGAGCCTGAGCCCAATCGAATTGGGTACACCGGTCGCACATCGATTTTAGCAAAAAAGTGAGCTGAGCTCATATCAGGGACGCCCGTTTCATTTTAAGCCCTCTATCTGAGGCACTTTTATCGAAGATGGTCTCCGCGAGACATGAAGATATTTACATCAGCCAGCCGGGCTAACACTGATCTTCAACAAAGCTACCGCATCGTATTCAATTCTTATCCACTAACATCGTTGTCATCAGTATACTAATTTCGTCACGCATCGTTTGCTTGACTCGTATTAACACCAGCCTCGAAGAAATAACTTTTTGAGATACCGTTGCTTCATCGAACTAACATCGTTCTCGTTACGATAGTTACCTGCGCGTATTTTAATCACCCTAACACCAAACAACTCGGTAAAGATGATAATTATTTGAGCACGGCATAGGCCGGTCAAAAAAAAGTTGTACGTATTATTTTTTGCAGGAAAAACATCTCATTCAAGAAATTAGAGAATTAATGAAGACTCGGAGGACTAGTAATATCAACCGGTCAAGAATCCAAAGTACGAATATTGAAGATAGCACTTGGAGGACTTGTTTACTTTCTTAAGTTGATGATTCTCACAACTTAAAAAAGTGGAGGACTTCTTGATGGGAAATAATTCGTGACTCGGTCCAAATTTCCCAATTATTTACGAAGAATAATCAAACCGGGCCTATTTAGTAAAATGAAGGAATAAGAGAATATTCCTCCGAAGATGCTCCTCCTCCTCCCCTATAAAAGGAGGGGTTGCCCTTAATGTTAGAGGAGACCAATTTCACTCCTCCCCTTCCAATTTCTCTCTCTAGATTATGAGTGTTTTCTTCTTCATTGAGCTTATAGCTTCACCATTAATGACTTCTACGCCTGAACAATGTATCGTGTACGACCCCTGATATTAATAAAAATCTCCCATTGGCAAGGTACCACCAAAAAAGACTCGTGGTTTTCTCTCGATTTGGGTTTCCACGTCAAAATTCCTGTGTTTATATTTTGGTGTATTTTTTAGACTAGTGTATGGTGTTTGTCCAGCTAAAAATGAGATATTCTGGTTCATAATTTACACCATCAACAGCGTACACTCACTTCACATGAATGAATGACATGCATGCATTTCATCTTCTTGCATTTCATCATTTTCTTTATTTATTTTGTTTTATTTTCTTACTCTGAAAATAAAATAAACCTAGAACTAACATAATTAATATTTGGCAAATAGGGAGATATCTCAACAGGATGAACATTCTCGAACAGAGGGAGTATTTCTTAAGTTTTCCCCACTAAAGATGTTCTAAATAGTTCTTCATGACAAATGCTTCTCTATAAACGAAGTAGTCCTTAATTCAAAAATATTCTCTCCGTAATTTACAATATTTGACATTATCCTATTGTCAATCGTTTTGAGAAATAGTTTTCAAATATAGAGAACCATGAAGAAAATATTTTTTTTCAAAAAGACAATATGAGATAAGGGAAAAAGACTAAGGTAGGAGTAGAACATTAGAAATATACAAAAATATGAGTTCTATGTTCTTATTCCTAAAATAGGAGTTGAAATGCATATACAGCGCCAATCATGACCATATATATTACCAAAAAGTATTACTCCATCCGTCCGGAAATGTTCTTCCCATTTGACTTTTCACGGTCTCCAATATTGCACTTTGACCATTAATATCTATATTTAGACATAGATATATTTTATAAAAATTTGACATTTGAAAACTACGTTTTATTATGAATATATTGATATTAAATTTACATCATAATACAATGTGTTTTTTCCACAAATCGTAGTCCAAGTTTATAAACTTTGACCAAGAAAAGTCAAATTGAAGAACATTTCCGGACGGAAGGAGTATGAAATATCCATATACAATACTACATTACCACAGTACAGACTCTTATTTTGAGAATAAAAACATAGAATTCCTATTTTGATACTTTCCCTATGTTTTACTTCTATTTAGGTGATTTCTTATAAAATAATTCCAAATGAAGAAGAGAAAAAGAAAATACTTGAAAATAGAGAACTATATTCGAAATGCACCTGTTATGAAGGACTATTTAGAATCAATCCTCATTCTTCGGAAAAACTACTGAATAAATGTATTAATTTGGATAAAACTATAGTCTTGAAAACTGAAGGGGCTGCCCGATTGGATGCGCACTCTAATAAACCCGTGATTAGAGCAGTCCAATTAAGGGATCATACATTCATACGAGTATCTCTATCGAATCAATTTGAATGAGGATATTTTTTCGTTCCTCGCCACTCTTTTCCAATGGGACCACTCTAGGAACTTTAAAAGAAAAATTTCCACTCATATCATGCTAAAAAAAAGTTTGTGGAAAGTTTTATAAATTCACCATTGGGATAGTTTTATCCCCAAAAAAAGTATACATGACAATATTCCTCACGAGTGTCTCTCGATTATTGGTTACAATGTTAAACTTTTTATTGTGTTAAGGTCAAGAATTTAGATCCTAATCATAATATTTTATTTTTCTCGATATTAAAAAAGTGAACTGTTGATTCACTTTATTAGAGAAAGTGCGCTTCGAACCAAGAGGTCCCCTACAATATTGTTTGGATAAGACTCCAGAGGTTGTTCGTCTGTCAATGTTAGAGGCCAAACACTTGAAAGCTAAAAACAAGGCGACTCTACAAACCCCCGAACTCACTCAATGAGATACCCATACCCCCTTGTGCTTCTGCACGTTTGTATCCACCTAGTCATTGATGCTGCAAGTGTTGTACGTTAGTGTTGCAATGTCATATATACATGCAGATGAACTATGGAGACATTGCAAATTCTGCCTAGCGCCACGAAAACCAGAGAGTCTAAAAGTATTGAAATTATGAATTACTATACCTCAAAAGTGGTACTTGACCAGCTAATCATACGATAAGGGGCATGCATGTTACACATTTAGGTGTGGGAAACTATTGTCGTGCATTAAACACAATAACATATCTGCATCAAATTGGCTATCCAGAATGGCACAACGTGGCAACAGGCTGTTGTTTTTTTTTTTTTGTTAACTTAATCAAGTCTTCTCAATAGGTATTGAACCTGAACATCCTTTGTCAATGGCATGATCCAGTCCCTATAAAGATCAGCAACTAGGCTAGGGTTTATCTTGTATACAGGATCACTTTTATCCCCCTCAATGCTGCTTGTAACCTCTTGACCGTATGTTCTAGTTTTCACCTCTACCCTATTTTTTATTGCCTCTTCGACTGCTGGATAGGTCAGCAGTTCCATCAGCTTTTTTCTGTCCTGAAGTGTGAATTTACCAGCACCACAAAGTCATTAGANACTTAATCAAGTCTTCTCAATAGGTATTGAACCTGAACATCCTTTGTCAATGGCATGATCCAGTCCCTATAAAGATCAGCAACTAGGCTAGGGTTTATCTTGTATACAGGATCACTTTTATCCCCCTCAATGCTGCTTGTAACCTCTTGACCGTATGTTCTAGTTTTCACCTCTACCCTATTTTTTATTGCCTCTTCGACTGCTGGATAGGTCAGCAGTTCCATCAGCTTTTTTCTGTCCTGAAGTGTGAATTTACCAGCACCACAAAGTCATTAGATATGACCGGTCTCAATGCCAGTCACAAATGCAAAACTATCAAAACAATCAAGATTTTGGATAACGGGAAAATAAATGGAAACGAAATTACTTGTGCTATTATCGCTGCACTATAAACTTCAGGTGACGCCTGGTATTTTGCTTCAGCCACAAATTTCCCATAATGAATTCTCTTCGAGAGCGCCTGCATACGAGATTGGCAGAATAGGTAAAATGCTTGTTTGAAAACCATGTCATCCTTTTGTTTTCATTTCCTTCTCTTTTATTCGATATCATATTTTATTGTTATTATTATTTCTTTTGGAGGGGGGGGAGGTGATGGGAGAAACTAGCATTAAGACTAATCACCAAGAACAACAACTAATCCAGTATAATCCCAAATGTGTTGGGATGTAGGAGTGAAGGTGTACACAACCTTACCCATGTGTACAAAGGTTGTTTCTGTTAGATCCTCAATTGATGCATTTATTGCCTAAACTTCATAGAAAAAAGAAGCAAGGGCAATTTCATATACCATTTTGATTTAGTCCATAATTTTCTGAACGCTAAAACATTATCGAAAATGAGTTCTTTAGTTTCAATGGCAATTGAAACCAATGAAGTGTTAAGGACCTTCCTATTTAATTGCATGTCCCAACAAGTGGGAGGGTAAAACGACTACAAATTACACAGTTTGGCAGCATATCATTGTAAAAAATTAGTGTAGAAAATTTGGGATCCTACACATTCCATTCCATCATCTTCAGTACAAAATTCTTTCGATTATAATTGATCTAATAACAAAATAGAAATTCACTAGCATTCATACCTGCAGGCAAAGAGTGTCACAAACTGCAGTCGATCCACAATTACCATCATCCCCTTTTTTCACTAATCTTGGAAGAATATCTTTGAAGTACATATCCCATATTTTGTCATTGATATTGATTGATTTCGCAGATGGATGCAAAACCTATAACAATAAAAAGGCTGATAAAAAGGGTAAACATACAGAGTAACAAAGGTGGTCAGATTTAACATAAATTCACATTCATATAAACAGGCAAAAGAAACTTAAAATCCCATATGCTCAGCCTGAAAATGACTTAGAGCTACAGCCTACACTGTCATTCATGCTCATATATACATTCTCTTTGAGGAAACGAATAATCATATACACCTGATTAGCTTATCGTGTCTAACCTCTAAGGGTTGGTTTGGGTGGAGGCTTTTGAAGGTACTACGTAATTGTTTTGGAGGGCTAGGCCTATGTTTCCATATGTGATATGTGTTTAAGATTCTATAAAAATCGATAATGTAATATATGACTATACAGCATTTCAATAGCCACTTATTAATTTCTAAAATAAAGTATACTTATGAAGACATACACTATGCCATCCAAAGCCTTTCTTTCCCTCCAAAACTCTCTATCCAATCTGACCATAATTGTACGGTTGGGGGTGGGGTTGAAAGGAAATGGTGAGGAACTATTTTTTCCATTTCAAGGAAATAATTGTTAAGTTATTAACTTTAGAAAATAAAAGGTATAGAAGGATAAATTTGTACAAACTCAACATTTGAGTCATATATATATACTATCATAAACCATATAAATGGTCAATAGTCAATACACCCCCCCCCCTCTGTGACGACCTGTCATACATGCCCAGAAAGATGCAAACTATGTGGTCTCTGCCAAACAACAACAACAACCCAGTTGAATCCCAGAAAAGTAGGATCTAAGGAGTGTGTGGGTACGCAAACCTTACCCCTACTCGAGAGTAGAGAGGTTGATTCCAAAGAGATCCCCTGCTCAATAACCATAGGTAATCACGTACGCATCCTGGCCCTTATGTCTAAAATATAGAGCGGTTATTTCCGGATGACAATGATGAGCGTCGAAAGTTGCATTGACTAACTGCTACTTAAGTGCTAAAAGAAGTGCAGACAGTTTAAAGAGATATTTTGCTTTATTCCACCATACCCCAGTTTAAAGCGCATACAATTTTTCTCTGCCAAAGAAAGAGAAAACTGAATGCATATGAACCATTAAATTTTCCTTGGACATCAGCAATAAAAAAACTCGCATAACAAAAACTCAACTTAAGCCACCTGCGGGTATTGAAGGGGTGGTAACATGGGTTGAGGCAGTTCATCTGGGAAAAAAGGATGCTCATCAGGGCTCTCGTACCTTCCAACCTACACATATTTGGAAAAGTATGCATATATGCACCCATTTGCCTCTCTTTTTATAGACAAAAGAAATAGCGATATGCAACATAGATACCTTAGCATGAAGCTTCTCAGTTTCTTTCAAAATGTAATCCACCAACGAGCCATGGAAGGCTTCCATTGTAAAAGCATCGGGGTCATATGTCTCGGGGTTGTAGCAATACTGAGCTCTCTCCACAAGGCTAAATATAATGCTATCCTCTTGCCGAATTAAAGAACTTCTAATACCATCCAGAGTATAACTCTCCGTCTCGTCTACTCTACTTTTCTTTCCCATTCTAGAAAGGAAAAAAATTGAATGAAAAGTGAGATATTAAAACCAAATACATCTCTCATCACTTGAAATGTAATGCACAGGACAGTATACGACATACGCTATACCTCTAACTTAACATTTTACTTTTGTTGTGGAATTGAGAAAATCAATGAATTAGTTCCATGAAACACTTGAAGCTACAGGGAGTAACAACGAAATAGCATTGCAGTTTTCTTAGATAGACTATAGTTCACATCACCAACTGGTGGCCGTTTTAGCATTGTATCTAACCAACTGGTGGCCAATTGCCCAAATTCAAACCAATCAAACTTTCAAAATATATTTTTCCCGAGATGAAACTTTTTATTGTAAATATAAATACAAGCTTTAAATTGATTAAATAATCATTCATAATTTCATATACCTCACTACCTCTTAAACAAAACTTTTCATTTTTACTGCTTTAATAAAATCTTGTTCAGAATCTGTTACTCCATGTCTCCATCGTCCAATAATTTTCTACTTCCTCCGGTCCTAAAAACTTTTCCCTCTTGATATTTTTTAGTCAAACACCGATACTCTTTGACTACAAATTAAACATAATCTAAATAAATAAATGTTATAAAAGTTTGATATATCAAAACTATATCCTAAGATGAACCCAATTATATTAATTTATATTATAATTCAATGTACTTTTCTAACAGTTTGTGGTCAAAGAGTGTGTTTGACAAAAAAAAGTCAAAACAGGAAGAGTTTTTAGGACCATAGGGAGTAATTGTTTTCATTTTTGTGTTGTTAAAAAGGAACTGACAAAGAAAACCTTCTCACTCATTAAATATGATAAGTTCATGAACAACAATGGGCAGTACATCCAAACATTAAAGTGTTTTTTTTTTAAATTTTTTTCTAAACCATTCAAAGATGAAAGATCAAGTGTTGGTACATTAAATTCCTTTACTTTGGTTTTGAACTGTGAGGTGGAAACTGAATTTCAAAGTTGCTACTTCCTTTACTCTTATAACAGTCAGAGTTTTAAATACAAATTCCCCAAATAAAAGTAGAGGCTCAGGCAGCCACCCAAACCCCTAGCCTGGGTCTGCCACTGCGTCAGCTCCTTTGGGTCCCACGAGTAAACTCCTCAGCCATAGCAGAAAATGTAAAGGATGAAAGCAAATGAAAGTTAACAAAATCAAAATCTCGAGGGAAATTTCAGTGACTAAACAATTAAAAATTACCCAGGGGAAGTAGCAACGGCTTTGAGAGGGCGAATGCCATCCTTCGAATTGAGGGACCGAAAGCTGCATCCTTTACGCAATTTGTGCTGAGAGACGACGGCACAGATCCTTGAAGGCCGGGAGATATAAAGGCTTTGAACTCTAAGAGGACTGATCCGAAGTAGCTTTGCCTCCATTATTGCAGAGAAGAGATGCAGGCAGGAGTCGGATGAAGACGACGATGGGTTCCCGAGAGGAGTGGTAATCAGATATACCAATCGTGGAAGCAAATGAGGGTTGGTGAATGGTGAGTGCGCCTAATTCAAATTCAACTTCGGTTTGGGGGAATTCCCAGGGGGGGGGTTTGGTGGCTGGTCGTTGTATTAGACGGTTCTTATTCCAAGTCCTAAAGCGCAGGGTAGGTGGGTAAACAGAAGACACCGTGCATCTGTCCAAATCTGGACCCGATCCGAATAGGACCCTGCTACAAACCCCCACCTCTACTAAGAAACTTGCCTCCACCCATTTCTTTACCACATATTTATCTCTACTCATTCTCCACCCACCATTTAATTTTAATTTTCTTGCCTCCCTACCACATGTTTATGTAGGGGGCATGTTTTGTAGCAAGGGTGGGAGTTTTTAGCATTTTCCATCCGAATAAGGGGTAATCTATGGACAAAGAATCTGACCCGAATAACGTAAGGACGGGCCCAAGACCGGACCGAAACCCAATAAGGGGCAATCTATTTAATTTAAAATGTCTAATTGTATAAATGTATTGATATTATTAACTTTTAATGTGTAACATAGACTAAACCTTTTCAAACATAATTGTTTTTTACTTTTTTAACATATTTTAAATAAAATATATTCTCCGTCCGTCTCACAGAAAATTTTTTACTTTACCAAGTTTAAGCATGTGAAAAAAATTATTATATTTACTTTTTCACACTTTTCGTATTGAAAAATATTTAGATACCATTAGTATTTGATGGTGTAAGTTAGTTGGAAAGAGTTAACTACGATGACCCAAGTCCAATGGAGTGAATCGATCAACCACAGTGAGTACTAATCACACAAAGTATCAAAAGGGTTGTAGTTGAGAAGAAATGTAACCAAGTTGTTATTATAGACATATAAAATACAGAGTTATAGCACGACTATGCTCTCAAGTTCCCTCCAAAATCGGATCCCCATAAGAGGGTTTACATGCATGGGTATTTTATAGGGGGAGAAAAGAGAAACTGATACAAAGTGTTATAGTCATGCCGCTATTACGTCTATTGTAGCGGCGCCAGGAAAGCTCAACTAACACATATAGGTCATGTCTACTATAGCCTTTGTAATACCGTATCCGTATTAATAAAATATTCTTATAAATATGGAGTAATTTTTTTTGACAGATTTACTTTTACAAATATTTTACTCCATGTTAAAAAAAGTATATATCTATATCTATAAAAAAAACTACTCCCTCCGTCCCCTTTTAGATTACAATATTCCCTTTTAGACAAAATTAAGGAAAAGTCAAATCAGTATTTTTTTCCCCCAAATTACCCCCCAAATAGTATAGGAATGGTGGGTGGGTGAGATTTGACATTGAAATGATAAAGGGGAGGGAGGATAAAAGAGTCCATTTAGTGTAAAAGTAAACACTTTGTAATCCTTTTTGGGACAAAAATAAAAAAGAATATTGTAATCTAATTGGGGACGGAGGAAGTATAATATAACTTTGATATATATTTTATAAAAAAAAGTAAGTGGTAACATATTTTATTGCATTCTTGTATTTTTTGAAATGTCAAAGTGCATATGTGAAATCAACTTAAAGTAAATATTTTTAACAGAGAGCAATATTTTATTTGCAGAATCCGTGTATTAAACTTTTAAATCGATTTTAGAAATGTATACGATTAGGATAGCGTGACAATCCTAAGGAGCATAAATTTTTATGTATTCTATTTTTACAAATGAAATTTCCACAAAAAGAACATAGAGATTTTATAAGGCACAACGATTGAGATGGTATGGCTACCATGAGAAATAACATTTTATATGATTGGACATTTTGCAATAGAACAAACACAAGTCCATGAATTCACAAATTTAATAAATATATTTACAAAGTATCATTCTTAAATATATTTTTACAAAGTATCATTCTTACACAGTGATGTACTCCATGCATAAAAATTGTTGGAAAAAAAAAACCCCTACGAGTCATGAGAGTGGAATCCTCCATTTTTTTAAGGGGTCCAGATTATTTACTCTACCACCTACCGTGCCAAATACACATATATATATGTCAAATTTCTTAGTCCCTTCTTCAATAAGTGTGCAAGACTCTAGCCTTTCCTTCTCAACAGTATTTCCTGCAAGGTTGTGTCCTTTCTTCATTAATGGTGAGGGACCTTAGCTTTCTATCTCCACAAGTTTCCTGCAAGAAGGTAAGAGCTTTGATGAAGGAGTGATTCATGTTTTCTACATAAAGGAGGAGAGTTGAAATATTTTGCAGTATATAAGTCAATCATGGTTATCAAATCAAGGGGATCAAGTAGCTCAATTAGCCATTAACAACTCTAGCTCATACATACCATGATGTATTCATTCTATCCTGAAACATCAACCATCTAACATCTGAGAAAGGAAAAAAAAACCAGTATATCTAAAAGTCAAAATTGTCACTAGAATGATCGAAGCTAATATTCTTGAAGAAGTAGGAGGGGCTGCCGATCAAAAAAATTGTCAATGAAGGAACACTAGAATCATGGCAGATTCCTGAACCTTTCCACTATTATCAAAGTAAAAACGGGTGAGTGGGTCATAAATTCTTAATATTACATTTTAGCCTATAATCATAAGTAGTTGAATTGATTTTATAACTATTTTTAGAATTAATATATCACTACTCCCATGGATAAATGAGATTTTATAACAAAGGATACATTTTTATCACACTCTATTTGAAACAGTGGTTTTTTTTTCAAAGGCCAGAGATGTTTTCTTAGTAGAACTTTTCAAGATTGCGTTGAAACCCCAATTTTTAGTACTTCTGTAGAAGTTTGATTTTTACAAGGAGCACTTTTTAAAACCATCTTTTTAGATATGAATTCCTACTACGTTAAGTTATTACCAAAGTTGAAGAAATAGCTTGAGGGTGGAGTTGTTTCTTTAATACCTCAGTTTGTGAAATTCGGTTCTGAGCATACACCAAACTTACTACGTGAGCAAAGCATTAAATGGGGCTGAAAGCCGGTACACTGCCATTGAGAAAACGGCATACGCGCTTTTCATCACGGCCAAAAAACTGACCGCATACTTCCAAGCTCACACCGTGGAAGTACTGACCGATCAGCCACTTGGACCGATCCTTCAAAATTCGACCTCCTCGGGAAGGTTGATCAAGTGGGCGATGATGCTCACCCAGTTCAAAATAGAATATAAACCAAGGACTGCAATTAAGGGTCAAGCTTTGGCAGACTTCCTCGTTGATCTGATCGGTCTAGAGCCCGAAGCCGGACCCTCCCATACGGTCGAACCGTGGTGGGACATGGCCGTTGATGGAGCCTCTGGACCGAAGGGATGCGGGGCCGGCGTAGTCTTCACTACCCCGGAAGGATTCAAGATCTACCATGCCTTGATCTTCAACTTCAAACTCACCAACAATGAGGCGGAGTATGAGGCGTTGGCCGGTGGCCTCAGGTTAGCCCGGACACTCGGAATAAAAAGGATGAAGATCCGTTCCGATTCGAGTCTAGTGGTTGGACAGGTCAATGGTGAGATGGAAGTAAAAGAGGATCGGCTGGCCCGGTATAGTGATCTGGTCCGAGCG